TGGTGTCACGTGCTCGTCTCGGCGTCCGTCGTACAAGGACATTAATATACTTAAATCCATGCCATCTCCTTTTTGAGAACTCAGGCCATAGTAGCTCTGCAAGCTGCTCATTGCAAACTCGGCCTATTCCCTGTGTAGACTTGTCGCAATCTAGTAAATTCACAATGTCTCTGTTTTGCTGAATGTTCGGAGCCCACGCTCTGGAAAAAAGCAGAGAATAGGTTAGAACAGACTATTATATTTACATACCATGTACAGTTGTACACCAACTTAAATAGTCAAAACATGGGTGAAGCGTGGTGATGCAAAAGCAAGGAGGGAAACACTAGACCCTAAACAGCGACAATATTATGAACTGCTAAAAATGAGTTGTCTTTATCTGACAAATAGTTTGGACTTTGTAACTGACCAAAAATCAACAACAATGAAACTTATGGTCTCTGTGCTACAGCATGGAAGAGAAAAAAAACCAAAAACACAAGGAATACAGTAACATTAGGAATTCTTCTAGCTTAATGCTCATGTATATACAGATTGTGCTCTATTTCTGTTGTTTGAATAATGTTCAGAGCTCAGTTTCTTTGCACAGATGTTCAGAATTCATACAATAATTTGCTACAGAAAAACAACACGTTTTTCAGAGAATTAGCTCATTCTCTTAACAATGAAAGCTGCTGATTTCCTTGCAATGTTCAGTATTTATAGAAATAACTTGCTACAGAAAAACAAAACAATGTTCAGAGAATTAGTACATTCTTGAACAATGGCGGCTGCTGATTTCCTTGCATAGTGTTCAGTATTTATAGAATAACTTGCTAGAGAGAAACAAACAATGTTCACAGACTTAGTATATTCTTGAACAAATGCTAGCTGCTTATTTCTTTGAATAGTGTTCAGAATTTCATCCAAGAAAGATCCCCCTACAGAATAAAAATGAACTGCTAGTCTCAGTTCATTGACTGAAAAAAATGTCATTGTTTCAGAGATGCATCTAGGGATTTCCTTTTCCAATCTCCACAGCCGGTTCGGATACTTGTAAGGATTTCCGCAGAGATGCGCCCCCGAACACTACTTCGTTGTGCTCCGGCGTCAACGAAAGACGAGACTGAGGCGGATGAGTTACGACATGAGACACAGCAATTGAATCATGCCATAGATTCGCTGAACGGGGTTGGCTTCCGGGGGGGGGGGGCAAGGACCAAAATTGTGAAGTATCAAATGGTAGACATCAAGATGCACCAACAAATGCAGGGCCTGGCTGCATCGTATGAACCGTCGCTTATACTCTGACTTGGATGGTTGTGGGAAAATTGGCAAAAGGTAAATTAATGGCAAAAGAATTCAATTTACCCGTGTCCTACTCCTTTGAACCAATCGAACCAATCCTCTCCGGTGGTCAAATCTGAGAACAAAAACCCCTGTCAGTACTCGCACTTTGACCAGCAAGAAAAACAGAGTGACAAAATCCCAAGGAGGATGGCCCCCGATACTCATGCTGATGCTGCCACATTTCACATTTGGTTAATGCATTAACAAATTAGTCATGGGGCCTGGAATTGGGCCCTAAATCTTAGGTTTTCTAATTGCTAACATAAACAAGTAGGAGTATAGTAAACAAAAGCAAGATAGGACCCAGCCCACATTGAGTGAGTAAACACTAAACATTGTTCCGGCTACCAGATGATGCCAAATATAATTTTATGGCTTACGAGATTCAAATGAAATCACACATACAAATTGATATCTCGTGTGTGAAGACGATTATCGGCAAGACAATGCAGTAGCTACATAACATGGTTAACTGATAAAATATATTTGTCGAGTTCAAACCGACGCTCATTTAATCCCTGATTTTATCCTGGTAATTTTGACTGGCTTAGAAAAAGGCCTAATAAACAGAGGATGGCTTAGAAAAATCCTATTTTTGTGAAACAGTAAGCAATCCTCTTTTCTGAGCACAGATCCACTAAGGTGGCCTGCTTTTCTTCAGTTTTGAGATCCATATTGCTCCTATTTTCTTGTACAGCATCCTCACAGGATTAGTCCTTCCAAAGAAATTAAATCATTTTCTTCCTCCTCATGCTGAAAACGAGCAAAGGTGTGCCTGACGAACCTATCCATACTAGTTTTATGAGAGCAGAGGTGCCAAAAAATTGACATCCATGTGCTGCTCCCCTATTAAAACTGGGTGTTCGTGAGCACAGAGAACGTGGCCGCCATCAGCTATG